GGAATTAAAAAAATATACACAGCAGCGCAAACTCAAACTGCAGTCCACGTAGCCAACAAATACATCATAAGTTAATATTATTTACGTCGACATGTATGCCCCTAGAACGCGAATGAACGAATGGATGTAAACAAACAGACAAACGGACAGATGAACGAACGGGTTGAATGAACAGATCGAGAGATTCTTTTTAGAACAACGCAACTTAGTTCCAGAATGTCATAACTTACAATATAAAATGGCGCCGTTAGCAGCAGGAGTAGCGCATAAAAGACACCAATACAAAAAAAAATCACCATCTCATCTCATAAAATCGGGGTGGTTGTGGGGGAATTGAATCTTCACAAGCAGCACTGGCTGAGCAAATCGTATTAAAATGAAAATATAAAATTAACTTATATAAAAAAATAGAAGGACAATCTGAGTTGAGGTTTATCGTGGGACATCTGGGTTACAAAGCCCGGTCAAGCCCGACGAATTTACGAACATACACACATAAGGGAGAGACACACACGCACACACACTGAAACCATTTACGAACATATAGAACTCTTGACCCGATAATCCCAGGTGCACAAAAATCGTTAGAGACAAAGTATAAAGACGCCAAGAGAGAAGATACCATGGGAGATAAAGAAGATGCGCTATTACCGTGTACTTGTAACATGTAGGTACCGTAATCGTAAAACTAGGAACTGGTTCAGTACAAAGTACAGTACACCATAACCAGTTATGAAAGGAAAAAACGAAGTTTAATGAAGGAGTAGACGATAAATGGCGTCACATGTGCGTTTCTACACAACCTGTCAACAGTAGCCAAGGAAAAAGAAGATGAAGGAGAAACTCACACACAATTAGGGCGGAGCTTATATATCTAAATGGAAGAAGGTTAACATATAATTACTGAAGTAATACTTACATGGTGTTATCCCGAGCAGTGATTCAATTGGTAGAATACAGAAACATAAGCAGAGTAGGAATCTTATGATTAGAACATGAAAATCAATGAAAAAGAAGATGAAGAACCGGACAAACGAGGACCTTACTTAAAGGGGCCAGCCAACCCAAGCTACATGGGGCGTTGGCGGGCCCTACCGGTATTCAGCAATACCTACGCTACGCATCTGATGCTCTCTCTATGAGTCAGCCGCCGCACGTGCACAAACAACATAGAGACAAACATGTCGCACGTACACACCGACGTCCGATGTCGTTGTGCCGTGACTGCCGACAACGGCTAGCGCTGGTCGATAGCCAGAGGCAATCGATTCGCTTCGATCTATGCCACCGCGGTCATCGATCCGTTCTCTGTTCGCGACTCTTTCAGTTTCAACGGGCTACTGTCCAATTTTCCATTCTTCTTCTCATACCCGTTCTCCAAGCACGTTCGTTTTGACACTGGTGCCTTCGCAACACACTGAATTACACAGTAAAACACTAAATCCGATGAACCGCACTTCAACAATTGAAATCAACCAACATCATCGCGGATTCCAGGTCGTTTCGCAGCCACTTTCTTTGCTGGAGTAGCACTGTCACCGTTGATGGCTGCAGGAGATGATTCGTGATTAGCAACATTCTCCGATGCAACATCTGTGGATGCGGAAGAGGTCGAATCCTCGGTAGCAGGTTCGGATTTCACAACTTCAGAAGCATCTGAAGAAATAAGGCAGCTTTGTTTTCTAAGTGGCAGTGGTAATGGTAATGGTCAAAAGCTATTTGAACCAGAGATATTATACCGAATTAAAAATTATCATTAATACTGGTGAGACAAGCACAACGAAAACATGAAGCAAAAAAATTTGAAATAATAATTCATACTGATATGCAAATGGTTGGAAAATGGAAAATAATTTTACGGGAGGTTTTAAAATTTCAAACAATACTATAACATGCAAGAAGTCTGATAAAAGTTGATTCAAACAATAATGATTAGACTACGAGAAAACAGAAAATTTCAACATTAGAAAAAACTAAGAAGAGAGAAAAAATATATTTAAGCTTGAAATATGCTTTAAATGTTTTGTGCGCACCTCCGTTGCCTTTGCCATTTGTTTCTTCTATCGTCTCATTCTGCATGTTTTCTTTGCCGAGCATCAACTGGATCTCATACAACGCATCTGCGATCATACCGGCCACTCGAGAATCCATCTATAAAGAAAAGTGGGGTAGTTAGTTAAAACGACAAAAAAATATTTGCTAGGATAATGAGAACCAGTAATTTTGAATTTGCAATTTAAAGTGGATTGTAGAGTTAAACAGAAATTCATTACTAATTCCGTCATTGAAAAAAAGCAACGATAATCCTTAATGATGGAAATGAACAAATCATACTAGAAAGTTAGATTATAATTTACTGACCAGCTGGCTCATCGTAAACTGCAGTAGTCGCTGTTGATACTTTGCATATACCCGGTAGGCTTCTGGAACTTTAACTAGTAGGCGCAACATTGCCGCAGCTCTTCGAAGCATTCCCACAGAGGTGCCCATCATTTCTGGATTGTCACGCAAAGCTGGCATACCATGCGTTTGCATCACCTAAGGAGCAGAGATTGGCTGAGATGGGATGGATGAGATAGGAGTAAAATTTGAATTGTCTAAAATTAGCAGTAAGTTTTAAAAAGTTGCGAAAAACCTGGTGCATGCTCTGGTCAGATGTTTCAATGAATGACACTAGGTTTTGAATGGTTGGTGTTTGCATCGCTGCTACATAGCAAACGGCTTCAGATGCATTACAGAACGCATTCAGGATTACGATGGCAAACTCTCTAAAACAAAAATAGTAACTTCATCAAAAGTAGATTTTCCCGATAAATACTTGGGATCTGCAAATACTTTGAACTGTGAAGAGATACGCTTACCTATTGTGCGTTTCCTCGCTCATGCTAAGCATCCTGGCAAGCATGCGGACAATCTTTTCTATTCGAGGCCATGCTCCTGTGGATAATAGCATATCCACATTTCTCTCCAAAACCGACATTTTGCACATGATTTCCAATGAATAGTTTCTGCAAATCAAAATTTTGTAAGAAGTTCAAGAATTGTAAAAATTCAGTTACCGGCATTTTCTGAGCACTATAACAGGCATACCTTGGAGAGACTGCCGCAGGTGGGATTGGATCGGTTGCTTCAGGGACACTCGATGCACACCAGTGAAGAATGCCGTCATAAATTGGATAAGCCAAATCATTGGGCACTTCGAACAGGTCGAGCTGAAATTCAACGTTATGCATCTTTGAAGTCTACACGTCGAAAAAATCAGAAAAACGGATCAGAGGGTAAAACGTTCAGAACTAACAACTAACCGCCACACTCATATGGCACAGTATCACAAACGCATCATCTCTCAGCTGATTTGCTGTCTCAACCAACAACACTTGTTCACAATCATCACAGTCTAGCAACGATAAAGCGCGCTTTCTGGCGGCATCAAACGACTCTGGCTCTGGTAGTGGTGCATCCTACAAAAATACTTGATTTGACATTACCATTTGATTACTACATTTTGACAGTAACAAAGTTAACTGACAACATCAATTTTCAGCGCTGGCTTGGCACGCTGTACAGGCATCTCATTAGATAGGAGCTGCAGAAAGCGTCCTAAGATGTACAATAGACCACTGTGAGCACATAACAGGTGCTCACTACCGGGCAGAAATGAGAAACCGCGTAGTATGTTCGAAAGAGCCAAGGCACGTAGAGTCTGGAAAGAAAGTTGAGGGAAAAGTCAAAATTGATGAAAAGAAGACCGAAGATTATTCGGAATTTTGCCTCAAGTAACCTTGTAAAATATAATTATACTGCAACAGCAGTAAAAAGATATGTCTTTATACGAAGATTACAGCCATTAGTATGAAAGCTTGTACAGCCTCTGAGAGCTGATAAGATGCATGTTACATCAATTTTTGCGGAAATAATCACTGAGATTTTTTGTTGAAAATGTAGATAATGTGATTAAGAAAGGAAAATGTTTGGCTGAATACGATGGGATCTAATCACTCACAAATCGGTGCAATGTCTCATCACGTTCTGTCAATGCTGTTGCTCGAGGCCAGCGTATTTCGAAATCGTTTAACCCTTCCGCCATTTCTTCTTTACGTCCACGACGAAGCAAGAGAATTTTGGGCATCTGTAAGGAGTATGATTTGAAAATCCATTCTCACGGGGTATAAACAATGATATAGCACGAGATAACAAACAGAACAACTCCAGACCTCCTCTTTCGCCTCCTCCTCTTCTTGAGGTTCTAATTTCACTTTTGCTGGCACACTGGCTTTCACGTCCATGTTGCAGTCTTCTTCGTCTGCATCAAACTTTTCGTAGATGCTGAACCTCGCTCGACTTTGGATTTTCGTCGCGTTCCACTCATTTCTAAGGCGCAATGCTACTCGCTCGGCAAGCCCGCCTCCGAGGCCTAGCTTAATCTTTTCCTCCACATAGTGAACGGAAAGAGTATCTGTAAAAAGCCATATTTTAAGATACTCCCACTACGAAAACAGACTTACCGTCAAATGGCAGAGAGCTTGGTCCTTCTTCCAACATAAGTTTTCGTTTCAGCAATTCTGGCATCTCGGCATCCAGTATCTTTACTTTTCGACCCGTTCGCGAACACTGAAACAATTAGTCTCAGTAGGCAACAACAGCTAAACAGATGAGTAAAACACTTGTTCAAAAGAAAAAGAATACAATCGAGAGCTCAATTATTAGGATGACTTTGGAAAAGCATGTCTAGAATTTGCAAGTTAACAAAAAAGAGCTTACCTTGTTATAGTTTTTCTTGATTTCTGGATTCCTTGCCGCAACAGGTTGCTTCACCTCTTCATGTGCGCTTCCATTCGTCAGAAATGGCAAACGCAGCGCATCCGGATTGCCCTCCGGAACTTCAAAGCGAGATGGTTCGCCCAGCTATAAAAAACAGAACAAGTTATCTCGACAAAAACGGCTCAAACTTTAAAAAACCAAGAACAACATTTGTTTTTTTTTTAATCATAAGCTCAGGTTACTATCAACTTACAGGGAAAGTTTCCGGATATAGTACTGACAATGTAGCCCAGAAATGCTCGATAATTACATTCAAAAGTCCAGGCATCTGAGTGAGGCATGGATGAGGATTTGTATCATCGTATAGAAGCACATTCAAGGCGTTGATTGCCCATATTGCTTCTGTTTCCAAACCACTGCGAAGTGCCATGATGAGGCGCCGAGGGGTAGCCTAACAAAATATGATATTAAACATAATTCCAGTGAAATCAAAAA